CATCTATAAAGAAGACAAAAAGTAAAGCCTCAGTTTCCAAGGTATAGAATATTAAAAATATAGTTTTATGCAAAATTTTTGCAGGATTTCTGAAGGAATAAGGCAAGTGAATAAACAATTTTAAATAATTCCAATTAGGGGCACCTGGGTGGTTCAGTCAGTTAAGCGTCCAACCTCGGCTCAGGCTGTGGTTCATGGTTTGAGCCCCGTTCTGGGCTCTGTGCTGTTCGCTCAGAGCCTGGAGCCTGCTTCAGATTCTGTGTCTCCTTCTCTCTCTGCCTCTCCCCTGCTCATTCTCTGTGTCTCTCTTTCTCAAAAATAAACAAACATTAAAATTTTTTAAAAAGTAATTCCAATTAATGCAATTGAAGTTACTGGAAGGGCAAATAAATCAGCAATAAACTTAAACATCATTTCCCCAGTTTTTTATTTTTAAAAGAAAATAGCCTTTAAAATTAAAACATAAATAAAAAAAATCAACCAAAAAGAAAATAGTCTTCAAGCTAATATCAAAATAAGTATTATACTAAAATGTCATCAGCTCATTAAAGAAATGGTATTTTCAATTTAGGTTGGCATTAAAGTACTGTTACATAATACAGTAAAATAGACAACTACCTAAGCTTAAAGCCCAAGAAATACAGGGGAAAATACACACACCTAAATTCTCAAAACTAAAGAGGTGCCCAGCAAACACACTATTCAATATATTTATATCCAAGTTATGACACATCTGTTTTGAAATTTAAAAAATAATTTTGCATTTTAATGCCAATAGATAAATAATATAGTTTTTATCTCTGAACACCAAAAATACATTTCTCCCTGCCCCCTAACCTATGATCTTTCTCAAATATGAACATATAGTAAAAGAAAAAAACACCTAAAAGTCTCTGATTATTGTACACCAGAGAATGTTTTGCTTTTATAATTTGTGACAAACTCAAATGAGATAAAGAAGCAAAGCTCTGAGGAGATTAATGGTTAACATTTTAAATTCACTATGGATCATTAAGACTACTTATAAAATACGATTAATAGCTAAAATAATGGTATTATTACTATGATGACAACAATGGTAATTAATTAAGCCTATTCTTGAGGCCAGAAACTAGCTAAACACTTTGCAGAATCCAATCCTTAAAACATTACAGGCAGGTATTATACCCATTTTGTAAGTGGGGAAAATTGAGTTACTGTGTGTAAAGAAGTTGTCAAAAATTATAAAACTTAACAGAGTAAAGAACCAAACCCAGATCTGTCTCAGTTCAAAGTATGTATACTTGCCCCATGCACTGTAATATAGAATTTACTGTATAATACTAACAGAAAGTAAGGGTAGGAACTTAGATATCTCTATAGCTCTTTCCCAAAGGATGTATAAATAACTCCGTGGATGGGGAAAAAAATTATAAATAACTGTTCTTGCAACAAGGAAACAAGTATGCTAACTAAGTCATATTTATTGGAATATGCTTCCTGATGAAATAGCATGCCCCAGTTTTAATAAATTATTTAAACACATTCATATACAAAGAGATCAAAAATAAAGGGCAGTGGGTCATCTTGTGGTAGAGAAATAATAAAAACATTAAAACTCTCCACTGGACTAGTTTTACCAGATTTTTATTTTTTAATTTTTTTAATGTTTATTTATTTTTGAGAGAAAGAGAGAAAGGAGTGGGGGAGAGAGAGAGAGTGGGTGAGGGGCAGAGAGAGAGGGAGACACAGAATCTGAGGCAGGGTCCAGGCTCTGAGCTGTCAGCACAGAGCCCGATGTGGGGCTTGAACTCACAAACCGTGAAATCACAGCCTGAGCTGTCTGACGCTTAACTGACTGAGCCACCCAGGCATCCCTATCATATTTTTAAGTACATTAAGATGTGCAACCTTGAGGACATTATGCTAAGTGAAATGAAATACAAATTTCAGTAACAAAAATATGAATACTGTATGATCCCACTTACATGAGGTATCTAAGTAGTCAATTTCATAGAATCAAAGTGGACTGGTAGTTATTAGGGGCTGTGGGGAAAAGGGGGAGTTGTTAATGGGTAGAGTTTCAGTTTCACAAAACCAGAGTTCTGTAGATATGTTGCACAACAAATTGAATATGCTTAACACTACAGAACTGTTTAAAACGGTTAGGATGGGAAAAAATATTTTGTAGTAATACGTAAATATATATCAATAGAATTAAAAATTAAAGTTTTATTTCCTCAATCAGTGGCCACAGTTCAATTGCTCAGCGACTGTATGTAGCCATCCAAGACAGCGTGGATAGAACATTTTCATCACAAAAATTGGTCTTAGATGGCACTGGATCACAGTACACAGAAACAGGTCCAAACACATATGGGAATTTGGATTCAATACTAAATTTGTGTGACAAAGGTAGCGCTTCAAATCAGTGGGGAAAGAATTAGTGAGTAAATAGTGTTGGCAATTTGTGAGCCTGCGGGAGAATAAAGGAAGAAGGGAATAAAGCTAAAGCCATATCTTAATTCCCACTCTAAAGAAATTCTGAATGACTCAAAGATTTGTACTTAAAAGGTGAAATAAATGCATTAACACATAATTCTAATTAAGAGAGGCCCTGACAAATAGAATGGAAAGCCAGAACACAAAAACTCAAAAGATTTTTTGTTTTAGGAAAATAAAAACCTTTACAAGAGGAAAGCCTAGATAAACTGGAAAGGGGTCTACATGGAGGGGTGTGGTGTGTTCCATTTTCTTAATCAACTGAAAAACATAACTCAGTTAAAAAAAAGTAAACTGAAAGTGCTAATATACATAGGAAAAAATTGGTCAACTTTATTTGTAATTTAAATACTCTATTAAAAATTGCATTTTCAACCATCTAAGGGCAAGATAATCCGCAGTGTTAATGACAGTGTGGGAAAAGAGGCACTAGTGGATTTAAAAACTGATACAACTTATTCAGAGGGTCATTTTAAGATATTTAACAAAAATCAAAAGCAACCAATAATAATAACTATAATTATTAACAATAAATTAACAATAATTTTACGGACAAAATGATACTGAGTCTAGAAATGACTTTAAAATAACCTGAGAAAGGGGCACCTGGGTAGCTCAGTTGGTTAAGTACCTGACTCCTGATTTCAGCTCAGGTCATGATCTCATGGTTCATGGTTTAAGCCCCACTCCAGGCTCTATGCTGACAGTGTGGGGCCTGCTTGGGATTCTCTCTCTCCCTCTCTCTCTCTGCCCCTCCCTCTCAACGCCCATGCATACCCTCTCTCAAAATAAATAAATAAGCTTAGAAAGTTGGTACAGATATTTATAAATAAGACTTGGTGTAAACTAATAGTAGGTGTACCAGAGTGGTGGGCATATAGGGATTCATTATACTATTCTTTGTGTGTTTGACTTTTTCCCTAAAGTTTTTCATGTTATACACAGCCTTTAAACCAGGAGTTCCAGTTTTAGGAATTTAGCTTCCAGTTACATTATACAATGTAAGTATAAGAACGTCCTGGAAAAACCCCAAATTTCCATTACAGAATGGGTTGAGTAAATTATATTTATCTAAACATAGCAATGTCCTATACCTTTAAAAAGTATGGAGGTCAATTGTGTGAGGAAGATTACAGAAAAAGGGAAAAAACATCAAGGGCAGAACAACAGGTATAGTTTGATCACAATTAAGTAAAAACAAAATCAAGTATGTGGATTTGTGAACACCCATAAAATACATGTCCATATTCGCAACAAATTTCTAGAAGGCTACGTGAAAATCTTAATAATGGTTTCATCTGGCTGGGCAGGAGGTGAGGAACTAGACCTCTTTGAGGAGAATCACTTATTTTTCAAACATTTTTTAAACTGAGGTTTTTTGGGGGACCTGGGAACATATCACATTCATTATATTTATAATGAAAAACAACTAGATTTTTTAAATCCTTCCTCTACTGAGATGACTGTCATTAATTCAGGAACTGTCAATGTTCAAAGTGTATGCTAAGGAGGAGCTGGTCTCAAAGCACACACTGAAACTGTACAGAGCAGAGCAGATGCACCGTGGCTCTCCTACTGCTGACCCTATCTCAGTGTTCTGACGGTTCCTCTATCTTAACCTGATGACTGACCCACAAGTCTAACATTATGTCAAATAATTGCTCTAGAGATGGAAGTTGGATCCCTACCTGGTGCTAATCAAATAATTAACAATTTTTATTGAGTATATAAGTGCCTACTTCTGTGGAGGAATACAAATGAATAGGATTATAGTCCTGTTCAAAAAGTTTCAAATCTTGCAAAGAAAAAATATGCATCATATAAGCAACAGAGAAGAATTTGCCATGCAAACAAATTATGTACTGAGACAAGGAGAAGTCAATGAAGGAATGAGTAGTTGGGGTTCATGGAAGAAATAATGAGGGCAGATTTGATCTTAAGATATGAGCTGGGGATGCCTGGGTGGCTCAACTGGTTGAACATCTTACTTCAGTTCAGGTCATGATCTCATAGTTTATGAGTTCAATCTCCACATCTGGCTCTCTGCTGTCACTGCAGACCCTGCTTCACATCATCTATCTCCCTCTCTCTCGGCTCCTTCCCCACTCATGCAGTCTCTTTCTCTCTCTCAAAAGTAAATAAATATTTTCAAAAACTTAAAAAAAAAAAAAGATAGATATACAGTAGGAAAAGGATTATCTAAGACCACTGGAAAGAATGCACAGAAATAAAAACTGAGATAATACGACTAAGTATGAGTAGAGATGGGGGTGGGTGGATGGGGAACAGGAAGAAGTATAAAATAAGTAATCAAGAGAAGTAAAGTTCAAGGTGATATATATCCTTAAAAAAAAAAAAAACGGGAAAAATTAAGATTTTATAAAATAGGCAAAGGAGAGTTTTAACAAGTATTTGGTAGCACCAGCATGTAAGGTAGGGTAAACTATCTGCATGTCTTTGTTTCCTTTTGGCTTGCTTTCTTGACATGAAAAATAAAATAACAAACATTACTTTGATACCTCACTTCCAGACCCAGATTCTAGTGGTCTCTTCTTTCTTGGTCCGATAGCCGCAAGAGCTGTGAGGTTGGCATCTCTATGTTGTATCTGAGCAAGCTCCAACTGTTGTAACTAGAAGATGGAATAAAAAAAAAAAGGTCAGTGTTTTCACAGTCATGTTCAGGGGGGTGGGGGGAGAAACTGATCATTAAGCCTATTACGTGTTCTTTACCAAATAAGTTACAGTATAAAATGAATAATAAATTCCCCTAACAGACAAGAGCACATCATTTCTCGATACCTTTACTCTAACAAACTCTTTGAATCTCTCAACTAAGAGGCAGAATTTAGGTAAAGAAGAAGTATATTAATAGAAGAAAAACAAGGAATAAAAAGGCATCTAGTGCTTAATCTCTCCCTAGTTTAATCACAGGTAAGAAATGCCTGAAGAATAAATTAAACAGTAAATTGGCCAGAAACTGGCCACAATACAGTCAATTTTTTTCAAAATAAAAAAAGTTACTTGAAAATAAAGACAGTTTTTGTAAATTATAGGAAACAGTTCTATGCTGTATGATTTATGAACTACTTCCTTAAAAATTTACTCATTTAACTCTAACACCCACATTAAAAAGTATGTGTTAATTATAACAGTATATGAAAGTTATATATATGTATTCATTTTTTTCCCCTAAGGAAGACATGCTCTAAGAGCTTAGACAAATTTCATAAAGGTCACATAAATAATAAGTGGTAGAAACAGAACTCAGAGCCAAGTGTTCTTATTACAAGCCTTCTCACTCTTTCACATGGATTTACTCTACATTTATCTTCATGCCAAAAATTGAAAGTACTGTTTTGCTGTGGAGTTTTTATCATAATTAACCCAGAATACCCAAATATGGAAGATACAATTATTTAGTATGTGGATACTAAACTATACAGAGACACTCATGAAAGATGCCCCATAATAAGACAGATAAATAAGACTTAGAACTGTAAATAAATGCATGAAGCCATAGTATCATTTCACTAAGGCAGGTGTCAAATGGTATTCCTTTAAAAAAAAAAGGAAAGAAAAAGATAACCAAGTTAAAATAAAACATCATTTCACAGGTCCTTAAGCTTCTCCAGAAGAGGAAAAATGTTCAATTACCATCAAAATCTTATTACTATGGAGAAAAAGGAAGAAAGAACCTGTCACTGGTTGCTAGACAAATATTCAAACAACACCAGGCTTCAAGACAGCCAACTGAAAGTAACCTGTTGAGGAACCCTACAATGAATATTCTTTAAACAAAAATTGACCAAGGTGTCTGGGTGGCTAGTCGGTTAAGTTTTAGACTTCAGCTCAGGTCATGATCTCATGGTTCATGAGTTCAAGGTCAGCATCAGGCTCTGTGCTGACAGCTCAGAGCCTGGAGCCTGCTTCAGATTCTGTGTTTCCTTCTCTGTCTGTCCCTCCCCTCTTGCCCTCTGTCTCTTGCAAAAATAAACATCAAAGATAATTTTTTTAAAGAGACTTGACCAAATTTTGAACATATTAAAAAAAGAGCAAGCATGAAAACAGTAAAGTCTGTGGTGAAATAGGCACTCTTAGGAGATAACAAAGTAAAGATCACTTCAGATTATTTTATAATATTAGAGGAAAGACTAAAAACAATTGGCAACTGAATCTTTAGTAAAGCAGAAAACACAACTTAAAAAAAAATTAAGAACCATTCTCCATTTGCTTTTCACAAATTACAGGGAAGAAATCCTTCTTTTAAATTGCAGGTTTACACGTATATAAATTGCTAGAAAACTGTTTTCAGGAGTTGTAAACTACCTTTTGTTGATGCTGGCCTTTTAAATAAAATATAGTTTCAGAGTCTGGTGCTGTCATAATCTGAAACTTCTAGATGACAAAATGCAATTTTAGTTAATCTACCCTAGAGCACAAATCAAACAACAAGCTATATTTTTTGAATCTTTCCCTGGAGAAAATTAGCATCTGCAAAATAGTCACAACAAAGTTTTTAAATTGACCTCTGTCATCAAATTTCCCTACCTATGTAGTAAAACATTTTCTCTCATTCTGCAAAGTATACTTTGGTTTTCTGAAATCTCACATGTCTTAAGACATGACACCCAAAGAGGGCCATTAAAAAAAGAAAGAAACTGACAAATTAAACTTCACACACATTAGAAACATTTGCACTACAAAAGACATGGTTCAGAGAACAAAAAAAGTCCACACTATTTAATTTCTCTAGTTTTCTTTTTGTTGCCTTACTGTATGGGCAATATAACACTGAGCAATAGTGATGAAAACAGACATTCTTGCCTTTTTCCTAATCTCTGGAAGAAAGCATTCAGTCATTTCATCATTAAGAATAATGTTAATAGTAGGGTTTTAATAGCCGTACTTTATCAGACTGAGGAAGTCCCTTCATTCCTAGATTCTTGAGAGTTATTCTTATTAATACATATTGAAATCTATCTAATGTATTTTTGCATTCATTGATATGATCTTTCTTAGACTGTTAATATGGTAGATTATATTCACTGATTTTTTATTATTAATAGAGCAGTGCATTCCTGGGGTAAATTCCACTTGGTCATGATATATTATTTTTATACATTGCTAGATTTGATTTGCTAATATTTTGATGAAGATGTTTACAACTATGCTAACAAAGGATACTGAAATGTTTTCCTATTTTGTAATGTTTTTCTGGTTAGTTATCAGGATAATGTTTGTCTCCTATAATGAATTGGAAGAGTACCTAACTTTTCTGTCTTCTGAAAGAAATTGTGGAGACATGGTATTAATTCTTCTATAAATTTTTGGAAGAATTTACTAAGTAAAATGATATATGGCTGGAGATTTCTTCAACTGAAAGGTTTTAACTATAAATTGACTTTATTAATTACAAAACTACTGAGGTTAGCTACATCACATGGCTAAGTTTTGATAGCTGATGCTTTTCAAAAAACTGGTTGTTTCATCTAAGTTGTGAAACTACTTGCATAGAGTTGTTCTTTTGTATTCTCTTATCCTTCTGACATCTACAGGGTCTGTAGTGATTTTTCTCTTTGTTCCTGATATTGGTGATTTACATCTCTTTTCTTTCCAGTCTAACTAGAGATTTATCAATTTTGTGATGAAAGAACTAGCTTTTGGTTTTATTTTCTCTAGTTTTTCCTTCTGTTTTCAAAGCCATCGGTTTCTGCTTTTATCTTTATTATTTACCTTCTGCTTGCTTTGGGTGTATATTGCTCTTCTTTTCCCAATTTCTTAGGGTAGAGCTTAGATTACTGATGAAGAAAGAAGACCTTTCTTCTTCTCTAACATAAGCATTCTTCCTATCCTTTTACTTTTACCTACATCATTACATTTGAAATGAGTTTCTTTGTAAACAGATATGATTTAGTCATGGTTTTGAAATTTATTCTAACAATCTCTATCTTTTAACTGGTATTTTAAACCATTTACATTTAACAGAATGACTTAGACATTGTTGGATTTAGGTCTACCATTGTATTATTTCTTTTCTGTTTGTTCATTCTGTTTTTCATTTGTTTCCCTTTTCCTACTTCTTTTGGGTTATGTGAACTTTAAATATTTCATTTTATCTATTGTTTTTTACTATATCCCTAAGTTTTTTTAAAATTTTCTTTTAGTGGTGACTTTAGAAATCACAGTATACTTACTTAAAATTTCAGTCTACTCAGAATCAATACTTTACCACTTCAAGTGGAATATAGATACTTTATGTCCTTTTACTCTCCATACTATGTTATAATGGTCTTATATATTACTTATGTATACACTGAAAATCCCCGACAATGTTAGAATTTTTATTTTCAGTATTTTAAAAAGCTTAAAAGCAGACTATATACCATTTCTGTTGCTCTTTCTTCATTCCTAATGTTTAAAGTTTCCCTTTGGTATCATTTTCACATCATTCTGAAGAACTTCAATTTCCTTAAGCAATTTTTTTAAGACTAGGTCTGTTTGCAAAAGATTCTATTCTTTTTCCTTCATCTGACACTGTCTTTATTTTACCTTCATTACTGCAGGATATTTTCACAGGATATAGCATTCTGGGTTGGTTGACAGTTCTTTTCTCACAGCACTTTAAAAATATTTTGCTACTTTCTTTAGGTCTCCATGGTTTCTGATGAGAAATTTATAATCATTTGAATTGCTGTTCTTTATTGGCCAAGTGTACACCTCTCTAGCTCGTAGTTTCAAGTATTTTTTCTCTGTCATTAGTTTTCTTAGATGTAATTGAATCTGAGTTTCTCTGTGGTTAACCTGTTTGGGAGGTTCACAGAGCTTCTGGAATCTTTAGGTTTATGTCTTTCTAAATTTGGGAAGTTGTTAGCCATTATTTTTTAAAACATATTTTTAGTATTTTACTCTTTCTCTTCTAGGACTTCAGTAACATTAATGCCAGACCTCCGGTCATTGTCCCACAGGTGTCTGAGGCTCTGTTTTTCTGTTTTTTGTTTTTGATCCGTTTTCTCCTTAGTTGACTGGACTAGACAAATTTGTCCATCTTCAAGTTCACTGACTCTTTCCTCTTTTGTCTCTTTCCTACTATCCAGCCCATCCAGCAAGTGTTTTGATTACTGTTATCTTCAGTTCTAAAATTTCCATTTAAAAAATAAATAAAATAAAATTTCCCATTTTAGAAATTTATTCCTGGTTCTTCAAGTCAAGTAATTTTGAATAGTATCCTGAATATTTTAAATATTATAAAACTCTGGGTCTTCTTTAAATCCTTTGAAATATGACATTTTCATTTTAGTGTGCAAAACAGATCAGTGAGATTTAGGCCACAAGTTCCAATGCATCTTCTATTAGTACAAGCTCCAATATCAGCTCAGTTTTCAAAGCCTTTGTAGCACTCACTGGATATGTCCCAAAAGTGTACCACTCAGTGGTCAGTCTGGGACCTAGCATTGCTCTGTTAGTTCCATTTCTTGTTTCTGTGTGTTTTTTTTAAACTTTTTAAAAAATGTCTGTTTATATCTGAGAAAGAGAGAGAGAGCACGTGCTCACGCACAAGTTGGCGGGGGGGGGGCAGACACACACACACACACACACACACACACACACTCTCTCTCTCTCTCTGAAGCAG